TCGTCTTGACTTCCGCTGTTGAGGACGGCGATATCAGGACATGCCTGGATGTGCCCGTCGGATGGGATGGGATGGACGGTGGCGCAGACGAGGTGAGAAGTTGCAGGACGAAGGCGATGCAGGCAGCCGACGCTAGAGCAGGGATGGAGGGAGGATGAAGGGCGAAGACGACGACGAGGATCTTCCGCCTGGAGAGAAAAAGCAACGAGCAGGCTTGCTCATGATCGTGTCACTGACTGGAAGATGCGAGAAGATGAGAAGATGCAGGCTTCATGATGCTGACGCTGATCTTCTTCTCTCCAAAGACTACAGGTTGTCTACTTCTCTCTTCTCCTCTTCTCCTCTTCTCTCTAAAGACTACAGGTTGTCTACTTCCTCAAGACTACGGGCTGTCTAGTGCGGCTCTGATTAGCCACCCGCGTCGTCAGCGGTCAGCGGTCAGCGGTCAGCGGTCAGCGGTCAGCGGTCAGCGACTGCAAGACCTTGATGTTATAAGACGGTCAAGAGTCAAAGCAGCGTATGATGGCCCCATGAGAGTGTAGAAGAGCTCGGTGCAAGGATACGTCGGATAATAACCCGGTCATGGGATGCTAAACTAGGGATCTGGATGTACAAGGAGGCTGCTGTATGTACAGATGAATGTTCTTGGGCGATCGCGGGATCTGATCCGAGTCAGCTGAGATGCAAGACATGCATAACCTCATCGCTCTCCAGGCTCTTTGACTAGTATACGCGGTGTGTTGACTCCTTTAGTATACGCGGTGTGTTGGCTCCTTTAATATACGCGGTGTGTTGGCTCCTTTAATATACGCGGTATGTTGACTCCTTTAGTATACGCGGTGTGTTGACTCCTTTTAATCGGTATGCTTGAAGTCAACCGCTGAGAGAGTCAAGTCTCTCTACTATGGTATATGAGTTTACTCTGAGCTGCTTGCTTTTTGTGTCCGCCTGATGGATAAACTGGTGGACGTCGACGGTAAGAATGCGTGATGCTACCGTATCATGGGAGCCGAGAGGACATCAGCGCTCTTCAAAGTGTAGTTATCAGACTCATCACATCCGACAGGCAAGCCTGAGACTCGCAATTTGTTGCTGTTGAATATCAGGTCTACGGCTGTCGAGTCGGGGATTTTCCTTCTCGGAGCATTTCACCAAGCCTTGTCCCGTAATCTTGCAAAGCAAAAAGAAATAAAAAAGACTACAATGAGTACGGTTATCGTTCCAGTTAGATCGTTAGAACCGGCCTGGTTTGGCCGTACCACCTCTGCAATTCCCTGTGTTGCTCTCGATCCCATCTGCTCTTATTAATGTTTGCTCTTGCGCCTCGCCCTGGTTTAAATGCTGACAAGGCGTACATCCTCAGCCTCTCCTGTTACTGTTTCCCTTGCACCGAGCTAGGCAGGTTGAACAGTCTGTCCGTCAGCAACTAGACCAGGATCCTTGCAGCTATACATCAACACTTCTACATCAGAAACAAACGATAGAATAAAAGTAGAATTTGTGTTGGTGCGGCGGCTTTTGGATAGTCAAGTGCTGTCGCTTGGCGCTGCCTGTTCAGGAATTGCGCCACTACCAACGGCTATACCAACATCGCCTGCCGCAACATAGTTACTTTGCTCGCTTTCTCAGCTCCTTTCTTAACGGCATTCTCCTTCCTTAATATCCTGTGCCGAGAGAGCAGCATACAACATGCCGAGAGATCGAGCGGCGTACCGAAATGTCCGCTTTTACGACGCGTCAACAGGTGCGAGTATTGGAGGTTTTTACCAGAATGGCTCTATCACCGAAGAAAACCTCATCTGGATTCTGAACGATGTGCTTTTAATTGTGGAAGAGGGAGACTCCTGGACTATCCAGCACAGAGCCTCGGGCCGAACCATCACGCCTTCAAGCAACCCCGTTGTGTCTGGAGATTATGACGTCTACCCCACAGGTACGGAGTGCGGCATCTGAAAGCCACGCCTGAGCTAATCCCGCTAGGATCAATTCAAGTGACGGATGAACCCTGGTTTGCCCGACTCACCAGCCGCTCTGTCTCGGGTCGGGAGGATCGATTCCGAGACGGAGTCCGTGCCAGAGATGGGAAATGTGTTATATCCGGACAGGTGAACCCTGGGGTCCAGTGGGATGACTGGGCAGGGCTTGAGGCTGCGCATGTGTTCCCGCTGGAGAGAGAGAGTCTCTGGATCCAATGCAACTATGGGCGATGGATAACCGACATGGATCATGCTGTGGGAGTGTCCAGAATTAATTCCATCCAGAATGGATTACTTATGGGAGGAACTCTGCACCATCGCTTTGACCAGTATCTATTCTCTATAAACCCAGATGTAAGTGTCTAGAGCCGAAACTTATCACTATACTAACGAGGCAAAGGACGGCTACAAGATTGTCGAGTTTGGACCTGGCAGCTGGGGAGTTGATGGAAGAATACTGGATCCTATTTGCCGCGACCCGGACACCAATAGTCGTGTCTCGGATGAGCTGCTCCGATGGCACTTCCGACAGTCTGTGCTTGCCAACATGCGAGGTGCAGGAGAACCCATCTTTGAGTCCGACTTTCCCTCTGGATCAGACATGATGGCAACCCTGCGCGATGAACCGTACGGCAGAGAGAGGTTTGAGATGGAAATTCAGTCAAGACTGCAATCTGTGGCTAGGGGTGACTAGCTGGAATTTCAAACGATCAACTGGGCATTGATGAATGCTTTTTAAAAACGAAACCGGTGCAGTAGCCAGCGATGGTATCGAGATTTATCAAAATATTGAACTAAGTACGAGGAAAGAAACAGAAAATAAAATATGCAGATTCCCAATATCATAGTTAAATTCACCCATCTGCATGTTGATGGTTTAATAACCTCCGAGTGATAGCTGGAAACACTTCATTATCGCCTAACAATAGTGAGGGCATAAAAACATAGTTAGAAAAACGCCAATTCATCGTTATCGTCATCATTAGTCCACCCCAAGCGTTCATAAATTGACTTCTCAGGGGTTTCATTAATCGTTCTATTCACGTCATTGCCAGCCCGCATTTGCTGCAGGGGGGTCACGATGGTGGTACTTTGCTGGTTACCACCCTTGGTGGGAGTACTTGGCTGCATAAAGTCAACGCGTTTAGGTACTGCAGGTTCGCTAGTGAACGTTGCCCTCTTAGGTCGAGGGGGTGTCTCGCCGATCTCCGTAGTAGAGGTGTTGAGACCAAATTTTATCGAACTGGTGTCAAAGTAGCGCGAGTTCGACTTGCGGGAAACGGTAGGGCTGGCCTCGTCCTGTGGGGATATATGCTCCATCCCGCTCCCTACAGGGTTGGAGGTGGCGCTTCGTTTTACTCCGTTTGAAGGTGGCTTTGATGGTGTTTCATGAACGAGATCATCCGCGTGAGATGTGCCTAGTGCATTGAACAGCGAGTTCGCGTTTGTAGGACGGACGCTTGATGACGGCACCACCTGGGTGTCCGCATCAGGAACCGGGTTTGCCGTCACGGCTGGTATTGACCGTTTCCATGTATTCGGCAGTGAAGACGAGTCGGCAAACCCGCAGCCTTTTGTCCTTGGTCTTTTCGGCGTCGCCATAACTTGTACACCTTGGCCAAATGGATTCCGCGTGGGGTTTTTCTGCTTCCTAGGATGAGCAGCAGCCATGGACATAGACCTTTTTTCCGCGGACTCAACAAAGTCTCGGGCCACTAGCTCCCGATTCGGCTTTCTGAGAGCATGGATAGCTGCATCCAACTCCCGTTTCTGATCCACCAGAAGATTCATCCTCTTCAGTTTCGACTCGTGATGTTTGGCCACGGCTTCTAGGTCCACCTCGCGATTGTTCACTCGCTTTGGTTTTTGAATACCACCCCTCCCGCTTGTGGCGGCAGATAATGGTAACTGATCACTGTTTTCGCGTTTTACTTCTGTGAGGGGGGGAGCTGTGTTGTTCCGCACTAAACTGGGGACTTTCGCCCTGACGGGGATCTTCTCATCCGTTCTCACTCGCTGTAGAGACCTTTTCGATGCGGGCCCTTTGGCCGATTTTGACAATTGGTTTGTCGACCGCTTTGCGTTAGATCGGCTTGGTCGAGCAGGCGATGGCACGGCCGGGCCCCCTAGTTTGCGATTTATCACCTGGCATTGCTCGGGGAGACGCGCAGAATAGAAAGGTATAATAACTTCAGTGCAGAAGTCACGGAGTTTGTCATTGTTGGGTGGTTTCCCAGGCCCAGCAGACAGCTTGTTTGAATCACCTAGCATTTCGATTGGAAGCATATGAGAGCTCACTGTATGCCAAATGCATAACCTGTCCAGAAGCAATTCCAGCGCTGTAGCCATATTTTGCTGCTTTTTGTTAGACTTTTTAGGCTTTTCCGTATTTCCACCGTCCAGTTCATTCGGATTTCCAAGACTGCTTTCCAAGAGCATAATCTCTAGAATCAAGAGGATCTGTAACTGCGTTTCACGCATCCGTATATCTTCAATCAAGCGTTTTTTCTGTCCTTCCAAGGCAACCTTCCCCACCGACCAGTCGTTTTCGTATGTGGATTTCCACCATTTGGAAATAAAATCTTCTTCATCTGCGTATAAACCGTCTTTGCCTAAAGTTTTTTTTTTGCTCTTACGTTTCTTCTTGGTAGGAGCGGCATCGTCGCCATCGGACGGAGATCGGTTAATAACTGATATTATCTTAGGCAAAGAATCCTTGTACTTCGCGTCCATCTTTTTCATAGGGATAATGCAAGACCGGTAATAGTGATATAAAACCGCTGGTCTCATAGATGAAGTAACTTCTATATCCTGAAATGCAGCACGGGCACGCGAGAGGGGACCCTTTGCAAAATAGGCCACGGATGTCTAATGCGGTTTAGCATATACAAGGGAAAACGGACACGGGGGTCTCACCTTTGATATATATAAAGCCTCCAGATACTGTGTTTTGAGAGTAGAGAGCATTTCTTCAGCATTACTCACAGTATGCGTCTGTGAAAGATTCTGATTGTCGGCGAAGTATTCGGCTGGCAGATTGATCCCAAGCTCGATCTTTCCCTCGGTTTTGGGATCTTTTTCGGTTACAATTACCGGTAAAGAGAACGTAGTATCGTAAGACATTTCGGATCCGCCAGCTTGGTCAGACATAGAGGTCGCCTGAGGAGTATTCCCAAAAGCAAATGATACCGCCTGCCTACTGTGAACCGGCATTTCTTGGAGCGAGTCAAGATCGGTGATAGCAGCATGTTCTAGGCAGTCCGTCAATAGGTCAGACGATATCTGGGAAGAACAGTATTCATCTGGCATCCCACTTCCTTTTGATGCAACTATCAAGTCTGCTTCCCGTATTCCAATCCTCAGAGCACATATCGCATATATGCAGCGCTTCACCCTTTCCACAACAAAGTATTCCTTTGAACCATCACCGCTACCAAGATTTATCGAGTCTGAAATTCGTGCAGCTAGCACGGTTGCGCTATTATCACCGCATAAACTGCTTTCCAGAGCTGGTATATTTGCTGTGAAGAGGCTCCCTGGCCGTATACTTCGTGGAGGTGAAGGGCGTGTATCTAGCCATGACAGAGGGAGGCGAGAGCGTGGGATCAGGGCTATGGAATAAAGAGTATGTGGTTTATCTAGCTGGGAGGTACCGCATGGCTATAAGTTGTTAATATTAGCACGTAACAGAGAGAAGTAATTGTATCATGACGTTTTGAACAAGGCATGCATGGCTTAGGAAACGAACATTGATAGTAAACTTGGCCGGTGTAGCTTCACAGATACCTTCATCGCCATCATGGTCTAACTTTAGCCTCTTCGAAGGTGGAAAGGAAACATGTTCAGAATCAAACGGGCTCGCAGATGTCACCGTCGTAGAGGCCGCTAGGAGGGGGTGACAGGTAGCCATTCAACCATAATTTCACAACGTTAACACATGAAAATAAAAAGTACGGTGGAAGAGAATAAAGAAGATACAAGGGCTAAAAGAGCATGTCTAAGCAGAGGACCATAGTAACCCGAACAAAACTATACAATGCCTGTTTGTGCTGCTCTACCAAGCAAAGTGCATCTGCTCTTCCATGCGGTTGATCAATTTGAAGTTTGAACACCAAAAGACGCGGACGCGACTGCACGTGACATTTAGCTTTCTTAGTAAAGATTTTACCTTTTACTATAAATAAATGCATTATATAATCATTTTATTTGGCCTTTGGGGACCCGAGTAAGAATTGAGGAAGAGGCCAGCGTAGCATTTAGGAGGACGAGGGAAGGAAAGATGAGATGGAAGCCGAATTAAGGTTTTATTTTTCTATCTACCAGGCCACCACTAATGACTGGTTCAACTTTTTCACCGAAAACGCCCTCCGCCTGATGTAGCATGTATGCTTAAAAAAAGGAAATTGGTATCATGTTGAATTATTCCGGAGATGCTGCAACAAAACCAGTTTAAATGCAATAAAGAAAAGTCATGTAGATCCCGTAAAACAGACGAAAGGTGGTAAGTCTATTTTATATATGCTTTGAGTTGTTGAAAACAAAGCAAACAATCATCACCATGATGAACTTGTTTTGTTACAACCAGAGGAGTAAAAGGTAGTTGGTTAGCGAGAAGGCGAGCGAGGAGAGTAGAGGAGGGCGGAGGTTAAGGAGCTTAGAACTTGAGGGTCTTTGGCTTCTCCCAGGAGAAGCTCTGGTCAGTGAAGTGACCGTTCTTGGCGGTTTGGAAGTAGATGGGTTTGGCAAGGTCGAGGTCCTTGACGATGACACCAGGGCGGAGATCGAAGTTGTTTCTGATGATCTCAACGAGCTCGTCGGAGGTCTTGGTGGAGGTGCCGTAGGTCTCAACGAAGATGGAGAGAGGTTCGGCGACACCGATGGCATAAGAGAGTTGGACGAGGGCACGGCGGGCGAGTTTGGCGTTCACGATGGACTTGGCAATCCAGCGAGCAACATAGGCGGCAGAACGGTCAACCTTGGAGTAATCCTTTCCGGAGAAAGCACCACCGCCGTGGGCACCCCAACCGCCGTAGGTGTCGACGATGATCTTTACGGCCGGTGAGACCGGCGTCACCCTGGGGACCACCGATGATGAAAAAGGCCGGGATGGCTGGGATGTGGTAGGTAGTGGCGGTCATCAGGAAGGTTGGGCTGGGGATGACCTTCTTGATGATCTTCTCCAAGATCTCCTTTCCGGAGGACCTCGGTGGTGGATTTCTTCACTG